ATGTCTGGTCTGTTGTCGTAAATTGTTTTATCTGTGATTATTGATCTGTTGTAGTACATTTTATGCGGGTTGTTTTATAATACTGTCTGTGGAATGTATTTGTAATTTGGGTCGTGGATGACTACCAATTTGTGTTTGTTTGCAATTTCTTGGTGTATTATATTTGCTGCTTGATTATCTTTTTGTAAATAATCTGTCTGTGCCAAGAGCTCTCAACCAGAAGTGATGCGTTGTATTGTTTCTGGCATGAGGTAACGTTTTCTGCATCTGTCATTGTTGTATCTTTGAGTATGTGTTTTCTGTAGTTTTTAGTATTTATAACCTGATCCTTTATGTTAATGATGAATCCTTCCGTTTCCCCAAAGAGGCATCCCCGAGCTAACCAGCTGTTTGACGCAGTTTTGTCAACAAAATTCTGGGTGAGGTGATAAGGACGCCTGCCGTGGAGTGCTTTTTCAGCCCACGATTGCTTGATGGTGTCTATGCACTGACCTTATAAAGTTTAATTAATAAAAGTCTTCCTAGAAAGCCTCCTTTTTTCGTATTATGATTTTGTAAGAAGAAAACAAAAACACCTTATATTATTCAATACAAAAAGTATAATAAACTTTGAATTAAATAATGTTATTTATATAATTTGAGATTCGGAATTGCTGAATATATAAATCATATTATGTTTCTTATGTAAGTGTATTCTTATTTGTGTATTTCTTCAACATTTATAATCTTCAAGAAATACAGAAATAATTATATTAAAAAATTTTCAAATTAGAATAGTTAACATTAACATTTATTCAACCTTACCATTAGATAAATAGTTAACACAATACTCAGTTGTTCAAATTTTTTTATTCATAAGACAATAGAACAAAATAGTTTTAGTTGTTTGTAAATACTTGTATTAAAACTTAATTACATTTATGATATTTATTACATTGTTAAATTCAAAATTGAAATTTTGAAACTGTTAAAAGTATTAATCAATAGCGATAACCGATTAGCGAATTGAAAATTGTAAATCAGGATAAATTGAAATTTGAACTCAAATAGTATTGTAAATTTATCATGTGATTTGATTTCACAGAATGAATAGACGTGCTTCGCCTTTTAAAATGTGTTTATTTTATTATAGAGCGAAAACGAGGTACTCTACATGTAAGCATATCTAATATGTGAAGGTTTTCTAAACAGCATTACTGGTAATGATTTACTTTATCCGAATTACCGAATTAAAAATGACCCAAAACATGACACAACGAGTTT